CGTACCAGGCATTGAACTCAGGACCTTGCGCTTGCCAGGCAGGCATGGCACCACAGAGCTAAATCTCCGGCCCTAAGACTATTTTTAAAAAGATAGTTGCAAGATAAGTTTTTTTACTAAGCACAGTAAATTATTTCATATTTTATAAGATGAATTAGGGCTTTTCTTTCATTTAAACATCTTTTATCTTAAGATATAATATCCTTGCTTGCTAATTCATTAACATAACTGCTAAAATGTTATATCCTCGGAAGTCTAAAATAGTATCTTGCATCCCAACATCACTTCCTATTCTCTTCTGCTTTATTTTCCTTCAAAGCACTATCATTCCTAATGTTACATTTATTTGTTTCATTGCCTTATTTTTGTTTACTAGATTAGGGTCTTGTATTCAGTGTTGTATCATGAATGTCTAAACTATAGCACGTTGAAGGTGTTCAATAAATATTAAAATAATGGAGAATTAAATATTTCTAATATTTAGGAGAAAACATACCTGTTGTCACGTAGAAACTGAAATTATTTGAAATAGCATATGATATGTAGACAGTGGCAAACTGTTAGATGTTGTCATATGAAAATGGTGATTTGGCTTCAAGATCCTACCATTTCTGCTTTGCGCTTTGTATCTTGCCTCATTTTAGAAGTATCATGAGTGGGGCTGGGATTCAGCTCAGCAACATAGCACCTGCCTGGCAAGCATGAGGTCCTGAGTTCAATCCCTGGTACCAAAAAAAAAGTATCATGAATGAAATTCACTGGAAGATTTCTCAGATTTCAGGTTTATAGTTTGGAGAATTATATGTAGAATTGATTTTGAAAGACTCACCTTTAAGATGCCTCTTTGCTTTTCTTAGCTGGATGAAAAAGAAAGTCGCCGTCTATTTCAGCAAATCCTTTCTGGTGTGGATTACTGTCACAGGCATATGGTGGTCCATAGAGATTTGAAACCTGAAAATGTCCTGCTTGATGCACACATGAATGCCAAGATAGCTGATTTTGGTAAGGACATTTTTATGGTTTATCTGTTCATTATGTCTAATGAACATAAGTATCATTGTTCAGGCAATTTTTATGTAATAAACCAAGTATTCCATTTTCTCATTGAACATGCAAAAAGGAGAAGAGTTAAGGTACTCTCTTATTTTAGCCTTCTGTCTTTAAACTTCAGTTTTATGGGGCTGGGGATTTAGCTTAGTGGTTCCACTGCCTGCCTCGAAAGCACAAGGGCCCTAGTTTGAGCCCTGGTACCAAAAAGAAAAAAAAAAAAATTACTTTTATGGTAGTAAAACAATTTAAGTTGGCAGCATTAGAGATATCCTTTGAAAAGAGACCATTCTTTTTGAAGGAGAAGGCAGCAACCTATTTCCAGTGTATTCTTTTGGTCAATATAGAGAAAAAAAGTGAGTTGGATGGAATTATTATTTAAAATTGAAAAGCCAGAAGGTGAACTTGAACAAAAAGTTTAAAAATTAAAATATTTTAAATGATAGGATATCTAATTTCAACTTCCACTTGAGAACACTTGAGTGTCAAAAATGAATTTTTTTCCTTATTTCCTATATAAATTGATATTATTAAACCTAAGAGAAAAATGAATCTCTGAAACTCTTCTTTTGGTGGCTTTACATTAAACCAGAGGAAATTTTATAAATATTTTATTTAATTTTCTATATGTATACATTACTTTGAATTTTAGAGACTTATGGAACAGTCCCAAACAATCCTGAGCTCCTGGGTAGGAACATTTTGGGTGTGTGTTTTGTTTTTTCTTTTTTGAGACAAAGTCTTTATGTAATTCAGGCTGTCTTGAACTCACTATGTTGACCATGCCGGCCTTGAATATGTGGTGGCCTTTTTGCCTCAGCCTCCCGAGTGCTTGGATTACAGGTGTGCGCCACCTTGCCTGGCTCCTTTTCTATTTTTGAACTAAATTATTTAACTTCCCTTTTTCCTCAGTTATCATAATTACCCTCCTTTTCCTCCTTCCCTTCCTCCTTCCTTCCCCTTCTACTGGGAATTGAACTGAGGGTTTCCACACTGAACTACATCCCCAGCCCTTTTCATTTTGTGACAGAGTCTCACTACATTACTGAGTTGCCTAGTCTGGCCTCAAAAAATAAAGTCCTTGGGTCGGGGATTTAGCTCAGTGGTTCCTACGCCTGCCTCGCAAGCCCAAGGTTCCAAGTTTGATCCCCGGTACCAAACAAAACTAGTAAGGTCCTCCTGCCTCAGCCTTCCACACTGCCGGAATTAAAGTGTGTGCCACCACACCAGGTTCTTGATTATCCTTTTAGAGTGCATTTCTGTAGGAACAAATGTTTCTTTTTGGTGTAAAACTATGAGGGAACTTTCAGATTCAGAATTACTGCTGTTTAAAGTTTTGTTTTGAAAGAATCAGAACAGGGTTAATAGAAACTGACTTTTAATCCTTCTACCTGAGAATATTTTCCCTGGCAATCTCCTTTTTTTTTTTGGTACTGGGGAACGAACTCTGGATCTTGCGGTTTTGAGACAGGCGCCGCCGGAACCACTGAGCTAAATCCCCGGCCCTCCCTGACAGTCTCTATTTGAATCAAACTTACACATAAGCTGGGGATGGGTGTATGTGCCTGTAATCTTAGCATTCTGGAGGCTGAAGCAGGAGGATATGAAGTCAAGGTCAGCCTGGGCTACATAGAAACATCCTGTCTAAAGAAAAACGTAAATATGCAAAATTTATTCTAGTAAGCAAAATAACCAGTGGTTTAATATATATTCATTAAACTCTAGCAATACATTGACTTTAACCACTGAAATTACATTTTAGGGCCTTGTGGTAGAGTATTTGGGAATGAAGACTGGTTGTGTTGAAACAAAGAACAGAATGATGATTTATCACTTCAATGCAAATTCAGTTTTATTGTTTGATGGGGCTTCATTTCTGTATTTGTCTTTGGGAAATCTTTGAGTAGCTGTTTTTGTGCACTTTCAGGTCTTTCAAACATGATGTCAGATGGTGAATTTTTAAGAACAAGTTGTGGCTCACCCAATTATGCTGCACCAGAAGTAATTTCAGGAAGGTAGTATTTGACACCTCCCAACCCCAATACATTTGTGATTTTTGTTTTCGCCAGGATTTTGTTAATCTATAGTGTTATATTCTAGTGAAAAAAAGACATACAAGGCTTATTCATTTCTTTTCTGGACATATTCTGTTTTTAAAGAATAAAACATTACAGGGAATAAGGTGAAGGACTCTGTAGAGGAGAGTGTTGGTCTGCAAGTCAACATTGTATTAGAAGAGTGTACTTTAATTTTTCCCCTGGTGGAAGATACTAAAATTTAAAGCTAGTGAGTTTTAAAGGTAAGTAGGTAGGCTGGGTGTGGTGGTGCACACCTGTGTTCATTGAGGAAGTTGAGGCAGGAGGATTTCCTTGAGTTTGAGGCCAGCCTGGGCTACACAATAAGTTCAAGGCCAGCCTGAACTACATAGTAAGACCCTGTCTCCAAAAACCCAGAAAAAACTAAATAAATAAATAAATGTAGGTAGGACACTAAAAACTTGAATCTACTTACATGAAGAATAAAGTATAATGTAATGTATAGCTTTAATTTTTCAAACAGATGGCATTTTGTAGTAGCAATTTGTGACTTAATGACATCCTGTCTTAGAAAAACAAAACTTAAAGGCTGAGCATATAGCTCAGTGTGAAGGCCCTGAGTTCAATCCCTAGTATTGAAAAAAAATTTTTTTTTCTATGAATCATTTAGTGTGATCCACACCCTTTTATCTTGATCCCACTCGTTTTATCTTGGTAGGGGTCCTTAAGTTACTGTGGGAGAAATGGATTTAGTGTATGTCCCTAAACAATTTAATTTCTCGGGGAGGGTATTTAGCTCAGTGGTTTCACCACCTGCCTAGCAAGCTCAAGGACCGGAGTTCCATCCTCGGTACCAAAAAAAAAAAAAAAAAAGAATTTGATTTCTCCTTTGTAACTGAAAAATAGTGGTTAAAAATTTAATAGTGATCTGTTTGTTCAAGGTTTGGCACTATTAGTAATATTCTTAAGTACAGTGGACCCTTGATATCCGAACTCAGTTCATTCGTGAGGACTGGTTGTAACTCAAATTGGTCAATTGAAGACTCAGGCTCCTCTACACAGGCAGATCTCAGTGTCTTGTTTTTTGGTTTTTTTTGTACCGAGGATCAAACTCGGGACTTTGTGCTTGTGTGGCAGGCGCCGGAACCACTGAGCTAAATCCCTGGCCCTAGATCTCAGTGTCTTTACAGAGACATTGGCCCAGGATTTCTCAGTGAACCCCACACAGGAAAGGATGTTGTAATGTTCCTTCCAGAACTCTTTAAGGATTAAATCTGTATCTAGACCATCTGGAAGCCCAAGTGGCTAGCATTTGTAACTCAAGGCTTTGGTCGTAAGTTAAAAATAAAATTCCAGTCGTAACCCAAGTTGTTTATATGACAAGCTGATCATAACTCGAGGGTCCACTGTATCATGGCAAGGTAGTAAGAACAGAATTTTAGCCATGATCTGTAATATACAAAATGTATTTTTTTTGTTTTAAAAAATAATATTAATACACTTAACACCTTTATGTGTAACATGCAACAGTGGCTGTAAAAACCATATTCTGAGTACTAATTCTTTATGAGATATCCATATTTGAAATTTTTGATTAATTGATTGAGTCTGATATTATTGGTTGTTTCATGAGATTGATATTTCCTGTTACAGATTGTATGCAGGCCCAGAGGTAGATATATGGAGCAGTGGGGTTATTCTCTATGCTTTATTATGTGGAACCCTTCCATTTGATGATGATCATGTGCCAACTCTTTTTAAGAAGATATGTGATGGGATTTTTTATACCCCTCAGTATTTAAATCCTTCTGTGATTAGCCTTCTGAAACACATGCTGCAGGTGGATCCCATGAAGAGGGCCACAATAAAAGATATCAGGTAATAAACCAATTGGAACTTATCAGATCTTCTAATAAATAGTACTTGTCATATAGGTTAAGTAACAGAAGTTGTAGAACAGAATATACAGTGCGATCCTGTTTTTGGTTAAAAAAAATACAGAATAGAAACACATTTGTTTGTTTTACTTTGGTATTAAAATATGCTAAACTGATTACTTATAGAAGTAAGATTGGTAGGAGGGAGGCCTTTTATTTTTTACTCATGCAGCCTTGTTTTGAAATTCTTACAATGACCATTATATTAGTTTATTTATTGTCATTTATTTTTTGCAGTACTGGGATTGAACCTAGGGCCTCATACATGCTAGGTAAGCACTCTATGACTGGGCTCCATTTTTATCCACTAAATTTAAAATTGCTGTTGATGAATTGGGGGTATACCTCAGTGGTCAAATGCTACCTAGCATTTGCAGGGTCCTGGGTTTGATACATAGGACTGCAAAAAATAAACCAAAAACAATAAAAAATAAAAAGGATCCTGGTAGGATGTTATCCTGGTTACTTTCTTGTTGCTGGGACAAAATAGTTGACACCTACAAGTTAAAGGAGGAAAGGTATATTTTAGTTCACAATTTGTAGATCTTTCTGTCCATAGTTAGCTGGCTGTAAGGCAGGATGGCATGACAGTTGGGCATTACAGAGGATAATCCATGGCATGGCAAGCAGGAAAGCAGCAAATAGCAAACCTGTGTTCTTTCTGCCCCTTTATATTCTATCCAGGCTACAAACTTACTGATTGGTACCAGCCATATCCAGGGGGAATCCACACCTAGACATTTCCATTGTCCACACCCAGAGCTATGCTAAACCAATTTAGTTATCACACATCCATAATCCATATTCACACACCCTAGATCCAGCAACCTCCATAAAGCCCCACTTATGAGCATGAGGCTTTGGGACATCTAGATAGGAGCCATAACATGTTAATAAAATTTTATAGTGGATCTTCAGGATTTTCTGTTGTATGCTTCAGATTTAATTTTAATGCAGTCTCATTAGGATAAGTACTTTTTAATAGTAAGTTTCTAGGGCCAGGGATTTAGCTCAGTGGTTTTGCTGCCTGCTGTGCAAGTGCAAGGACCCGAGTTCGATCCCCGGTACCAAAAACAAAACAAAACAAAAAGTTTCTGATGCTGTTCAAGTTCTGATCTCATGAATTGCTTTTATTTTCTTTTGTTAACCTCACTGAATGAGAAAATTTTAATCAATAACATGCTTTTAGCATATCTGAATCACATGAAATTGCTGTTTTGTAGGTAAATGTTGCATTTCATATGGTTCAACCTAATAGTTTAAGGCAGAAGTGATGATGACACATGTACTTCTTTTTTTTTTTCCGGTACCGGGGATTGAACTCAGTACCTTGCGCTTGCATGGCAGGCGCAGCGCCACTGAGCTAAATCCCTGGCCCAACACATGTACTTCTAAAATGTACGTGAGCCATTTCTGATGAAGACTTAAAAATATTCACTGCGAATCTTTGCTACTATCATTATTTCCTTTTTCCCCCTTTTTAGAAATTCTCTTTTGGTCCTCTAATGGCTAGATCACAAGGTTCTCTGGGATGGAGGGAAAAGGAAGAAAGAAATCATAAGGGATACAGGAATAGTAAATAATTAGTGTAAACAAGAAGGGAAGATTTTATGTAGAGCTTAAAGCTTGATTCCCTTTTACTTTGTATGCTAAATGATTAGCTAAAAAAGAGACTTCGAATGTCAGGGCATGATTTTATTACCCGAGGAAAAGGAAAAATCATTCTCTACAATGTATATTGTAAAATATCTGAGAAGTGTACTTGCTTGTGTTTGACATATTTTTTTCCAATTAAAATGTAATATATGACAATTGGAAAAGACTTAGAAAAATGCCAACAAGAGAAAAAGTAGTCATTGCTCTTTTGGGTTTCCTCTCTTGATTTTGTTTTTGACATTGCTCAAGTCAAACACAACCTTTTATTTCTGAAGTTAGGGAATTGGAAAAGGAAATCAGAACGTGACCTTTGAGCCACACAGAACTAGATTGCAAATCCTCGCTCTGCCTCTTACTTTGTGACCCTGGGAAAGCTCCTTGATTTGTTTGAACCTCAGTTCCTTTGTTTAAAACATGGGGATGTTATTATCTTCTATGAATTTTTTTAAGGAAGAGGGAAAAAAATATATATAAATTATTTAACATCAATCCTAAGAGGACTCAGTGAATGCTATTTGTTTAGTTTTTATTGTTATTGGATTCTTTTCACTTAATGTTATATCACTTGATCTTAGCCAAAAGGCTCGAGAAGTGATGCTCTTCATATTTCAAAAGCACTGATGGGCTGATTTAGCTGATTTAGCTCAGTGGTGCCACCACCTGCCTCGCGAACGCAAGGTCCCAAGTTTGATCCCTGGTACCAAAAAAAAAGAACTGAAACTACACAGTATGCTTTTTTTTTTCCTGAGCTAGAAATAAACTGTACTTTGTCAATGTCATGTATTCCAAAACTTTAAATATAAATGTAGCCTTTTCTACATCAGTCCTTAAAATCAGAGGGAAGCTGGAGCATTTTCAGTATATACAATGAAGTATGGGTAAAAGAGGAAAATCTTTGAAAAATGATAGTAATAAGACAGTATGGGTATAAATATAGTGTCTGATATTCCTCAAATTTGTTACTTTCAGTCCTTATTTTGCTTAAAATTCTCCTGACCTAACCGTTTTCTCTCAGGGAACATGAATGGTTTAAACAGGACCTTCCAAAATATCTCTTTCCTGAGGATCCATCATATAGCTCAACCATGATTGATGATGAAGCCTTAAAAGAAGTGTGTGAAAAATTTGAATGTTCAGAAGAGGAGGTTCTCAGCTGCCTTTATAACAGAAATCACCAGGACCCTTTGGCAGTTGCCTACCACCTCATAATAGATAACAGGAGAATAATGAATGAAGCCAAAGATTTCTACTTGGCAACAAGCCCACCTGATTCTTTTCTTGATGATCATCATTTAACTCGCCCCCATCCTGAAAGAGTACCATTCTTGGTTGCTGAAATGCCAAGAACACGCCATACCCTTGATGAATTAAATCCACAGAAATCCAAGCACCAAGGTGTAAGGAAAGCAAAATGGCATTTGGGAATTAGAAGTCAAAGTCGACCAAATGACATCATGGCAGAAGTATGTAGAGCAATTAAACAGCTGGACTATGAATGGAAGGTAACACAGAGTATTCTGAACATTAACACATTTGCCAAACCTGTAATCTGTAAAATTTTTATAAAATAACTGATTTGGCTTTGTTTTTGTGCATATCATATGCTAGGTTGTAAACCCGTATTATTTGCGTGTGCGAAGGAAGAATCCTGTGACCAGCACATACTCCAAAATGAGTCTACAGTTGTACCAAGTGGATAGCAGGACTTACTTACTGGATTTCCGTAGTATTGATGGTATGTACATCATCAGACCTTGTCACTAAACATGGCTTGTTAGTCTTTGATTCTTTTGAAGTCGCTTGACTTCTTCATAATAATTGAATAGCAAAGGAATAGGAAATGTGACTTTTTGTGCCTTTGCGATACTAACATTTGTAAATATTATTCTTATAACCGTATCACATGTTGGCCTTTTAATATTACTGTCTTAAAATCCTTAAAGACAAGATATAGTTGGTACTAAAGTGATAGTTTTATGCTACATTTCTATGCTTTTGTGTGGTTCATTTTGGTAAGGTAAAATGTTTTAATTAGAAATAAATGTTGAGGGCCGGGGATTTAGCTCAGTGGTTCCAGCGCCTGCCTCGTAAGTGCAAGGTCCTGAGTTTGATCCCTGGTACCAAAAAAAAAAAAGAAATAAATGTTGATGTTTATGTTTTTTTTTTTTTTTTTTTTTTTTGGTACCAGGGATCGAACTTGGGTTCTTTGGCTTGCACAGCAGGCGGCAAAACCGCTAAGCTAAATCCCCGGCCCTATGTTTATGTTTTTATTTATGACTAATTTTACAATAGGTACAAGGTTTTGGCCACATTTTTCATTGGCTAAATGAGTTAAGATATGGTGCCATCATTGTTTATGGAAGATCATGCAGAATTATATAACTAAGGTTCATATATGAATTTTTTTTCCTTTTCACAAATTTGGGGCTGGGGATTTAGCTCAGTGGTTCCACAGCCTGCTTTGCAAGCACAAGGTCCCGAGTTCGATCCACGGTACCAAAAAAAAATGTTTGCTGCCTCTTTTTCACAAATTTAAAGATAGTACTTAGATGTTATCAGAAAGACAGATTTAAGCTGTGATATGCTGACCAAATGTGAATGTCTGGTTATTTTTATGTTAGGATACTGTGTATCTGCTAAAACATACTAATACAATTTGAGAGCATGAGTTTTTTCTCATTGTATTTGGATTAAATTTGCAGTATTAGATTTATTGGCACCTGGGTTTACCAATTGAATGACCATTTGATTTTTTTGTATTTTGTTCTTTTATTTATTTATTTATTTATTTATTTATTTTTTGGTACTGGGGATCGAACCCAGGTCCTCAGCTTGCGAGGCAGGCGGTGGAACCACTGAGCTAAATCCCCGGCCCTGTATTTTGTTCTTGACGGTTATTCTTTGATTTTGTTTATTGGAATTGTTGTCCTTTATGAGCTCTTAAATGAAATATGATGTGAAAGTGGAGAGTGAAAACCACTAAGAAGAGGTTAAGAATCTTGGGTTCTAGATTTACCTTTACCTTTCTGTTTGTTTCCATAGATAAGTCATTTAACTTCTCTGGGTTCTTTCATTATCAATAAAATAAGCTTGGATGATAATAATTTCCATGACACTTTCCATATTTCAGGTGAATTGATTGTATGACTTTAATATGAAATGATTAATTTTTATGGCTATAGAATGTTTATTAAACTCAGGCTTAGTAGCTTACTGGGCTCTTAATCTTTGATTGCAAGATGGATGAATAGCTGGACTCTGTATCTAACCTTGATTACCCATTGGAAGAATATGTGCTGTGTGTTAAAGTGGTGAGTGCTTTAACACAGGCACATGGTTTCATTTGAGAAGATAAATATTTTGGATAGCTGGTCAGTAGTCTCCCCTAAAGAAACAATCTCCGTATTGTGAAAAAATTGTGAGGAAGTCATAGATTACAATAAATTGAAATTCTTTTTGTCCAGATGAAATTACAGAAGCCAAATCAGGGACCGCTACTCCACAGAGATCCGGATCAATTAGCAACTATCGATCTTGCCAAAGGAATGACTCAGATACTGAGGCTCAAGGAAGATCCTCAGAAGCGTCTCTTACCTCATCTGTAACCTCACTTGATTCTTCTCCTGTTGACCTAACTCCAAGGCCCGGAAGTCACACAATAGAATTTTTTGAAATGTGTGCAAATCTAATTAAAATTCTTGCACAGTAAACCTGAAACTTTGCTTATTTCTTTGATAGCAATAAGCATGCATAATAAATAATAGCCAAATGCTTACATGTGTAATCAAGTTATAGATATATATATAATTATAGCTAAGGATGGCCTTTTGGAATGCAATTTGCACAGGAATTGAAACACAATAATTAAAAGCCTGGTGTGCAGAAATAAATTAAGATCATTTTGTTGTTATTCAATAAGCATATAGCATAATATAATATAAACACAATGAATTAGGTCTCTCAGGCTCTCTTGATTTTCGGCTATTTTATATTTAGTGTATACAGGGCTTTGTAGAATATTAATTTACCGTAAAGGCCTTCATACATGTTGATGTGTTCAATATTTGCTTTGTAAATTTACTCAATAAATACTTGCCCAGAATTCCCATAGACCTTTATAGGTAGTGTCTTCTGGGCTTATTGAGTTTTAAATAGCTAGTATTTTCCAATAATAGTAACAGTCTGGATAACTTCTTTGATGTCCTCCTCTTAAAATTCCATCCTCTATGGTAAGTTGTAACAGATATTAGACTCAATTTAAATTTTTTTTCTTTAGCTTGGTAAGTCCAAAAACACAGAATATGTATGTTCACATAATCTCCACACTAAATTTATCTCACAATTTGTCCCCCTATACTCTGTAAAGTGTTCTATTTCAAGAGCTGAGTTGCATATAATGTATATAAGTCATGTTTTGCTAATTTCACAAATTCTCCTGGCTTATGATATCAGCCAGTATTGAATGTATGCAAGCATCTCTAGTCTTTTGATGATGGAGCTTTTAAATTGAGTCAGTGCATAGAAAGAACATGTCTCAACAACTTTAAATGCTTAGCTGGAACTCCATCCCCATTATGAATTTTTTTTAAAAAGAAAAATTGAAAGACTGTAGAGTAATCCTATGTGTATCTATTAGATTTCTTTAACATTTTGCCATATTTGCTTTCTGTACCAGATATATATAAAGATGTGTAGTTACACATATACATTTGTGTGTATATATATATATTTTCTGAACTACTTAAGATGTTAGGCATATTTATCATCCCTAACTGCTTAGAGTGTCTCCTAAAAGTAATGAGTCTCCTAAGAAAACTACCGTAAGTCCATTATAAATTTAGTAACTTCCAATTATCTGATACTCATTCTGTATTTAGATTTCCCCATTTATCCAAATTGCTTTTATAACCGATTATTTCAGTCCAGGATCCAATTAAAGTTTACACATTGGCTTTTGTTATATATCTTTAGTCAGTCAGATATAATATTAATATTATTTTGGTAAAATGTAGAACAAATCAGTTCTTCTGAACGGCCAAATTTGTTTTGTGTTTTAATTATTTTAAAAAATTAGCATTATGGGAACTCTGTAAAGATATTTAAGATCTCTTACATATTTTTTTTTAACTCTTAGTAATAAAATCACATAAGTATAAATGAAGATTTTTAAAGTCACCTCAGATAAAATTGATATCATGTGTATGCTGATAAATAAATATTGTATCGTCCACATTTGCCTAATATTATTTTTTTTTTTAATTTGAGACAGGGTCTCAGTATGTGGTTCAGGCTGGCCTTGAACTGAATGTAGTCCAGGCCGGCCTTGAACTTGTAGCAATCCTCCTGCCTCAGCTTCACAAGTGCTGGGATTACTGGCATGTGCCACCACTTCTGGCTGCCTGTTATTTTAACTTAAAGAAATTGGAGTTGGGTATGTAGCTCTATGCTTGCCTACCGTACACAAGGCCCTGGGTTTTATTCCCAGAACAGAAAAAAAATTTTTTTTATTTTTTTGGTGTGTGTTGCAAAAGATCTATCTTTTTATTTTAATTGTGATAGGATGTCTTGTCAAATACAGGGAGCATTTAGGTAACCAGATAATGGTAGCTGTCATGGTAGCTTGCATAAATGGTTACTCAAGTTTATGGTGACTCCAGTACCTCTATACTCATGCACTGAATCTAACACAAAAATTTTGACTTTTTGTCCAGGGTTTGTTCTATTGAACTTTAGATCCGAATGATGTATAAAGTAGCAGATGTTCCATTTACATATGAGCAGAAGACTGTATAACTGTGTGGCTCCCCCGATGGGGATATTGGTTTCATTTAGGCTCTCTAAATGCAGCATTATGTTGTTCTGTTGTCAAGAACAGAAGACTGTATTTTTAAAGTTAAAGATCTGTACATAGAACTAAATAACTGTCTCTATGAACTGTTCTGTGGGGTTGGACAAAAGAACCAATTAACTAGGACCCTCTAAAATTGTTAATTTTTTAAACTTTGCTTCTTTTATAAGTTATTGTGATTGTTTTTAGTTACTGTTTTATTTTGAAAGTATTCAAATATTGCACTTGTACAAACAGTATGATAATTGCAGACTTGCAGTAAATTCTTTTTTAAGCTAGGATATTTGAAATGACAACTTTTGGTCAAGTATGTCAAGGTTGCAACAGAATTTTCACAAATTGTAATTTGCAAATTCTTACTAATACTGAAGATGTAAGGGGAATCAATACAATGATTTTTAATCTTTTTTATTATCTTTTTCAGCAATTTATATTTTTTGTGATATTATGCAACCATATTTTTACTTTGTCTTGACAACTGAAAGATGTATAAGGTTTTTGCCAGAAATGTACTGTATACATAGTTTTAAATATAACAGATTTTACTGAAATGTAAAAATTTTGCCATTAAAATTGATTTCTCATGGAGAGGAATTTTTCTACCAGGTTGGGGTATATGGGAGTTTAATATATCATATCTAATTTAAAATAATTTCACTGAAACATCATTGCTTTTACTTTGATTATATTTTTTTAAAAAATGCTTTTGTAGTTTTTTCAGAGTTTTAGATAATTTTATATGAAATCCTTCCCTTACCCCCTACCCCACCCCCCACTAGTTGTGCTGCTTTTGATTTTGTGGTGATACTTTTCACAATTAATGCATTGTGGGCTGTGGCTAGATGTGGCTCCATGCATCTGTGTTCCAAGTGACACCTTTGGAATGAAAGAAAAATGTGTGGTGTCTAAAAATTTTTTTCTTAACTTCTCTAATTCTCCCCCAAAATATAAATCTCACTTTCATGGTGAGTTCTCCTGACAAGATGAGATTCCACATACAGTGAAACTGTAAATTGGTGATAGAGTAGAAATCAATCATTATGGTTTATGTATGTTTTGATGAGTATACAATTTTAAGTACCTTAATTTAGAAAGACAACATAATAAAAACTTCATTTCTCATTTGTTGTAATAGCTTTTTTTGTTTAACTCTGGGAAAACTAAATGGCACCTGGAGAGGGGGTTGGCCATGGCTAAATATATGTTTACCTTTTTTAACAATGTACCTAAACATAAAATATAGTGCATGACCAAATTTTAGTACTCAAAATATTGTGGTTTTTTTCTCAACTAAATTAGTCTTAATTTCATCTAGAAATCAAGCATCTAAACAAGATACTGATAGGTACTATCAAGGCTAAAATGTTGGTACTGTTTATTAATAGCTAACACTGGATTTGGTTAGAATCCTGCTTGTATCAGTCACTTTCCTTTCACTGGGACAAAATACTCCACACCCAGAACATAAAGGTTTAATTTAGTTCATGGTTTCAGAGGATTCAGTCAAAGGTCTGTTGGTTACAAGGCAGAAACGTGGTGAGTGTGGAGGAGTAAGGCTGCTCAGTTCAGGGTGGCTTCAAAGCAGAAGCAAGTAGTGCAGAGAGGAAGTAGGGACCAGCTATAGACCCCAACACCATGCCCCATGGCTCCACCCATACACACCCAGAAGTGTTTCCACCAATTCTCCAGGGAGATCCCAATCCAACTCTATGCTAAGCACTACACCACTGCTGTTAGGATTTAGTACTAAATCTTATCCATACACCATTATTGTGCAGGGATTTTGTGATATCATTGCATTCTAAGTTTAAAAACTGTACAAGAAATAGTCTTGTTTAAAAGAAAACTCTTGAACTGTTCTATTTATTGTAAAAGAATAAACTTCTATTCATTGTAAATGCCAACAAATGTTTACTGATAAATTTAGAAAATTTTTAGCAACTTGGGAGATGTTCATGGTGTTCTGGAAAATCACGGAAAGAAATGCAGAGACACAGAATTTGGGTAAAATAATAAAAGTTTTACTTGCAAGCAGGCGGGACCACCACATCGCCATCTTTGTTAGTAACCTTTTATACTTTTGTTAGTCATTTATCTCATCCCTAGTGGTCTTTGTTAATTAAAGTTGCAATTTTGGCTCAATAGTTAAACACAGGTGGTTTCTGTCACTGATTACAGTCCTAAACACATGACAGTTACATCACAGGATTGTTCAGGGATTGCCACTTTGTTCTTCAGAACTAAGATGTTACCTATAGTGGAGTTACAGATCAAAGGAGCTTATATAATCTTCACTTTAAACAACAAAAGCAAAAGGGATAACTACCTATTTTGCTTCCACAACTACTTTAATAGCTAATCTACTAAACTTACTTTAAAACCTTTCTCTATCCGTATCACTAAAAGGGCAGCATAGGAAATGTATTAAATAGAACCAAAGGTTAATCTGTGATCACATAAGGGAAAGTGATGGGTGAAGTGTAAAAACTTCGTGGAGGAAACTTTTAATGGAGTAGAGGGGATCAAGTTTAAATTACTTGAGAGATTTAGGTAAGACCCCTAGAAAAGGGACACAGCCTTAAGCAACAGTTACTCACTTTATGCGGATGTGTGGTCGCCATGAAAACGCTACCTACAGAAAAGTGCACAAATTCTAAGTACAGTGTTTGGCTCTGAATTTTTAACAGTGCAGGGTTACATGGCCTATGTAGACCTCTACCCAGGTTATTAAACATTGTCACCACCTTGGTGCCTTTTATAATTATTATGAGAAGTCAGTCCACTTCTATCCTGTTGCATAGATAAGGAGACAGTCTGGTATAACGTAGGCAGCAACTTCACAAGAGGATGAATGTCAGGAGTAGGGATCAATGGATCCTGGCTCCCACAATCACGCCCTGGTCATTTTGAAGTTACTAGTTCACCGACCTGGGTGTGGTGGTCCACGCCTGTTATCCCAAGCAGGGGAGGCTGAGGCAGGTTTGCTGCTAGTTGGTGGCCAGCTTGGGTACATAGTTCAAGGCCAGCCTGAGCTACTTAGCGAGCCCCTGTGTCAACAACAACAAAAAAACCCAAACAAAATTACAAAATTACAAAAAAACCCCCAAAACTGGTTCACTTAAAAATGCAGGTTTAATCAGACTATGAATACAAATCACATCTGATAGTCAACATTACATCTGCTGTCAATATCATTATGGTGAATACAATTTTTCCAGAATCATAATCTTAAAATCTTGAGTTTTATCTTGATAACAAACACTGTCAATTGTTTTCTTGAAGTAACTGTCTCTTTTTACTCCGTTTCAAGAAAAGGCCTAATGCTCAAGTCTGAATAACTATTTCATCCTAAATAAAGTGTTCTATAAAAAAGCATCTACTTCAGTTTGTTACGGAGTCTCCCAGGTGCTTTTCTTTGAGACATCATACTTCAGTATGCAGCAGAAGTACTTCATAAGGACACTGTATTGGTGCTCACCCTGCAGGACAACCCTTTTGCCCAGCAAAGAACTATGGAGTTCCAAACGTTCATCTGCATTGTAGTACTGAGGGTGAGAAAGCCTGCTCTCCAAACACGGGTCTTCCCCTTGCACAATATAGCTATACGAATGAGTAAACATGCTAATTTTTCTACTTCCTAAATACATACCTGTGTTAAAATTTGCCCACTTAGTTATTTACTTTTCGGTACCGGGGATCGAACTCAGGTCCTTGAGCTTGCAAGGCAGGCAGCGGAACCACTGAGCTAAATCTCCAGCCCCGCCCACTTATTTTGAAGATATGACCTACGGCTACTTTCAGGTAGTAATTTTCTCTTTTGGGTCCAATTTATTGGTTAATTCCTACCTGAAGCCAACAGTTCAGTCATGACTTTTCCTATCAGCCTGTTTTGAACCTTTCTCAATCCAGTTTTAACTGTGTGCGTCTGGTTGGCCTCGTGGGCTAAACGGTAAATCCCTTTAGAGCAGCACTACAGTATTTGGTACTTGTTAATCCTTTGAACGCCCCTCAAAATCACCACCATCGCACCTCGTTTTACCTGAGGTCTAACGCCCCACTGTAGCCCGGACAGTTCTCCAATCCGCGCAGCCGCACTTTCCCGCACTGCCGCAGCGCCCGGGCGCAGTACACACCCGGTGGCCGCTAGAGCGCACTCCCGGCCGAGAGCCGTGACTACAAATCCCAGAAGGTAATGCGGTCAGGCACCGAAATGACTTCTGGGATTTGTGGTCCTGGAGAAGGCACTGTCAGATGAGGACCATTTAACAATCCTTCTTTTTAGTTGATTTTTTTGTTGTTGTTGTTTTTTGAGACAGGGTCTCAGTATGTGGTTCAGGCTG